GTCCTCACTGGGAAATCTTCTCAGGCATACTGCAGGATGCTGCCCCAAAGAAGCCGGGAAAGCTGGGAATCTGGAAAGTAAACACAAAGGGGGCACCTTTCCTAGTGCAGATCAATTTATTTCAATAAGCACAAAGTGAAAAAGAGATAAAATGGTACTCACAAACATGAGTGTTACACAGGCATGGAATGGGAGCTGACATGCAGTAAGACATCCACTAGACAATTCCTGTGTGTGAAGACGTTGACGCGTTTCCGGGGCACGCCCCCTTCATCAGAACATCTGTGGATGTCTTACTGCATGTCAGCACTCATGTTTGTGAGTACCATTTTATCTCTTTTTCACTTCGTGCTTATTGAAATAAATTGATCTGCACTAGGAAAGGCGCCCCCTTTGTGTTTACTTTGTAGTATATAAACAGAATTCGCCACCCATACATTTGCTGGATTGTGCTGCATTTAAGCTATTTACTTTGCTGTTTCTTATGGGCACTTCAGGTATCTACAATATTCTCTGGTCTTTTGCACTCTCCATTTGGAGATGGGGAATCTTTAATTCTAGCTTTGCCACTAGTTTCTATTGAGCATCTGTGGCACTCCCTCCCTCATAACACATTTCATGCACATCTGACCTCCTCAAATTAGGATTTCAGCCTCAGATATGCCTGTACATTGTTTGTTCTGTATTTGCTGTACAGCCCCACCTGTAATGACCTGAATAATTCATTGAGAGGACTGGTTATTACCAGAGATACAAGGCCCTGGCCTAGCACAGGTTCTTAAACTTATCCTCAGGCCTCACCAATAATGTGCTTTAATTTTCTCTCTGTGCACACAAGTGAAAACCCTGGAAGTCAATCTCTCTGGAACACAAGTAAGCAGAAATCAATATCTCTGAAACATAAGTGAGATGAGTGAACTAAAGAGGAGTTCCACCAAACAACCCATTGTTGGTGAACACTAAGGATGCATTTGACAATGTAAGGGTTTAGCTGTCCTTAAACATCTCACATTTTAATCACTAGCTAGGTAATATTAGAGCATCCATAACTAAAGAAACCTCTCTATCTCAGAGGTATCGGCATTCTTTGCAATCTTTTTTCCATGAAGCCTCGAAATGTACAATTATCCTCTAAAACATTTAATTTTTACCCTTTCCAATAAAAAGATACTGTTCTTTGATACTGTCCATTATGCTGTTTAACGGAGAAGTCCCAAACGTATACACACAGTGGTGGCACGAACACTGAACGACATATGGCACTTAACATGTCTATGGAATTAGCAGCAAGTACTGACATAAGGGGAAGATTTACAATGTCAAGCACATAATAAATCACACATCTGCCAAGATTGCAGTACATTTATTCATGGATTTAAGGTATTTTTGTGACCCTTGAATGCCTGAAAACAAATCTGCAGCATTTATCCACGTTTCAAATTTCTTGGGCCTCATTCACACTGGCAATGACATGCTGACGTTTATAGGACATTTCCAAATGTATATAAATGATGTGAAATGGTAGAATTCACACTATGCATTTAGTTTAGCTGCATTTGAAAAAAGTATAAGTCTGCGTCCAGGGGCAGATTAGATACTCTGAATGTGTCCAAACACATGTAAATGAAGAGAACTTGATCTCAGAGCATAACTTTATTTTATACTTCCCAAATACTTTCTTCTGTGTTAGGCTCGTGTGAATCTAGCCTTGTGTTTGCATTATTATGTTTTTCTTCAAACTAGATCAGGTCAGTTGCATGTTGTAAAATGGTGCAGCACTACTTCTGACCCATTAGAAGAGAGAAACTTACAGCTCTGAGCTGAGGGGAGTGTTGTCCTAACTATAGGTATGTGGCTTTTTCCTGGAGCTGACCTTGTATGGCATCAATGAATTTACAGAGAGTCAGCTGTAAAAAACGAAAACATCTATGGCATCCATTTTTTGCATGTGAATGGACTGAATTTATGTCGCCATTCATTGCAATTTATCTAAATTAACCTCTACTTTGCTTAACAAAAAGTCCATACAATAATGAAGAGTCAACTGCAAAACGAATCTGGCTATGAGGAACATGCAGTACACTACAGAATATCACAGACTGAGTCACTCCAGAATAGGAATGTGATAAAATGCATGAATACAGATCACCTTGAGGGAAAACAGCACATCAAAATGAGCAGCAGATCCAGTTATGTGCAAACGTGGAAATTTAGTCATTCTTGTAAATGTGAAGTCTGGCCCTGTCCCGTCTCCTAAGCCCCCACCCGGTCATTCTTTGATGGGTGGGCTCACTGACCAATAGGGAGCCTAGGAAGGTAGGAGGGATAGTGGCAATCACGATTTTTACAAGAACAGTTGAGATCTGAACATGATTTCAGCTGCCAATATTGGTATTTAATGATTGTTTCCCTTTTCCTGAAGTTTCCCCTCTGCCCATGCATATGCTCAATTTGAATTATCCAAGTTTGTCACTAGTTTATTTTACACAAGACTAGTTCTCAAGCTTTCTATTTTTTATTTATCATCCCGGAAAATATTTAGCTGCATACTGCAGACAGGGCTTGGATAAAGCACATAAAATGGAAATATAGATTTGAACAATTGTTGACATTACCCGAGATAATGAAACAACTTCAGATAAATACCAGACATACTGATTTTAAATGCCTTCCTTCCTCAGTAACAATGAAACGTGTTGGACTCTATACTCTATGTGGTAACTCCCTTCCCCAATTGAGCACTTTTCTGTACACTGTAATGTCTCTGAGCATTTGCAGCTGCTTCTCAGAGAATAGAGACTGCTTCCGTATTGGAAAATGAGTCTCTATGCTGTCTGTTGCATGACAACTTGCCCATAGGGTTTGAGAGATTTCCTTGGTCATAACTAGGGAAGACAAGTAGAGAATTATAAAAACATCCATTATTAGTTCTTCAGTTTGGATGCCGACCTTGACAACATATTAAAATGCTGCATGCAAATTGATATTGTTTGCAGTTGTTGAAATGATTAAAACCCTATTTCGATACTGCTATTTTTATACTATTAAAGGCTTTCCAAATCTGCAGTGTTTATACCATAATAAATATTCTGGAGTTATTCAGTTTTAGCAAGACACATGTGGTGCAAAAAAGCATTTATTCCTAAGCCGAATTCATTTCGCATTACAGATAATAGTTCTGACTAGAACCACAGTTCTTTAGACACAACAAGATCTCACTATGATGAACCTCTTTTTGCACAAGCCTTAAGTTTAGCTTTATAATCAATCAGCATTTGTATAAAACCCTATAATGTTTTACCAAATTGTACCCAAAGAATGAAACACTTCATAACTTTCTATTTCCTTAAACATAAACTCAACAGCATCACAAGCAAAAGAAATCTGCATTGCTGCAAAAACATAGATGGCCAATTGTATTCAGATATCAGAGAAGGTTTTCCTGAACATATGTAGTTGTCATTAAAAATAATAAATGGACCAGAAGCAAAAGAAAAAAGCTGATCCATATGAATTATATCTGTGTGAATAGGAAACCACAACCTGTCTATGCTCACTTTCTCCATATCTTGGACACTGGGGTAATTTGGCAATGTGCAGCACAGGAGGGGGACACAGGCCAAAAGTTATCTTTGGACACTTTACTGTGCCCTCTATCCTGCAGTACTCAATTGAGCTAATACACTAGGACTAACACCAAGGCCCCTTTCACGCGGGCGGCCCAATCGAATCAGCCTGTCAGATTTTTAGGCGGACCTGATCGGATGCCCAATGCTACTCTAAGGGCAGCCTTGTGCCAATGGAAATGTGTCTGTTTAAACCCGGTTACCCCCGACTTCGCCCAAGTCCAGAAAAACATATGAAATAGTGTTCTGATTTGATGGACCTGATCAGGGCTAATCTGATGTAAACGTACACATGTCTGTTTACATCCGATTCCCCATAGACAGACATTGGGTCCAGTAATTTCAGCTTTTTCTTGCATCGCAAGATGGAGAAAAAAACCTGGCGGACACAGGGGTTACAGCATTGACATCTGATCCATACCACTGCGTTTAGAAGGGGATCCATGCACGGACCCCCTCCTGATCAGCCTGTGTGAAAGGGGCCTAAGAGTTTGCATTAATGAAACATGTTGCCCCACTCTTGGAGGCACTTACAATAAAAGCTAGCTGGTGAAGTACTAGTATAAAGACGATACATCAGATTGCACCTCCTCCACGTTCCACTAGGTGTCAGAATCTTTGATGCGTCTAAAAGACATGTAGCGAAACAGGCACATATTGAAGAGCTCTGGCTGCAATTTAAAAAATTGGATCAGTAGAATGGGGTTACTGGGTTTACTAATACACTCTACTCGCCTCACTCCACTCTACCAATTCCATTTTAGAGGCAACAAGGAAACAAAACTTTGACAGAAATGGTTTTGCTGTGAGGTTGTTGTTATACATCATGTATGGTTTATCTGATGATCACTAGAACATTAAAGACAATTGGTATCCCAAGATCAATTTAATTGCAGTTAATTATTTTCCAGAAATCCATGTTTCCTACTTGTGATTTGAAGCGATCTTCTTATTGCTGTGTCTGTTATTTGTTTCCCGCAGAGGTTTCTGCATACTAGTTAAAAGTTTGACCATTACTAGTATATAACCTGAACACATTTTATTAATTACAGTTGAAAAAAAAACTACATAAATCTATGACGAGTACTCTGCAAATGATAAACAGTAATTGTAATGCTTCTCTGGTGCTTTTCTAACAAATGTGACATTACTAAAAAATAAAACAATATTCCACCTATTAAAATAATATTAAAACAAGAGGCTACCGTGAAGTCAGTATATCTACGACAGTTTGCGAGAAAGGAATCCAGCTTCTCGTTTCTGTGTCATTTCATAAATTAATAAACTGTTATATTTATTATTTCAAAAGATGTTTTTCATCCTTTAAAAAAAAAATGTACACAATGGAAAGGAATCAAATAAATTATTAGCTAATGCCTTGTAAACATTGGTTTATTTGTTGTTAGGGTAAGGGAAAAGAAAAAAAAAAAAAAGTAAAAACTTAACAGTACAAGGCACAAATGACATGGATAAAATAAAGTCTAGGGGCAGTAAATGATGTCTAGTCCATACCAACTTGTGGCTTTGCCTTGAAGGTGTCAGTTACCTCCTGTGATGCCAGTGAAGATTTGCACTTTGAAAGGAATGATAATAGTCAGACGAGCTGTGCCATGCCAGCTTTCAGGGATTTGTGCTTATTTAATGATCGCTACAACAAACGAAGAGTTAAATATTCTCCACAAAGCTGCCTGGGAATAAGCCGGTTTTGCCGTTGCGCTGTAGTGTTCCTTTATACCAGCCGTCTTCACGTTTCTTGTGCACAAATACAATGTCCCCTTCCTTGAGCTCAAGCTCGGCCTCACTCTGCGGAGGGTATGACACCACCACTCGGTATCTAGAAAAGAAATATGCTGTAAATCTCACATCATAAGCTGTGCCATGAAATGTCATTAATGGTCCGACAGGACAGGATGTTGTCTCTGGATGCAAAGTACACAGTTAGTGCAAGAGAAAAAAAATAATAAGGAAGACAGGAGCAAATAGAAATATATGAGCGTTCTTCCATTCTCTAAACTTCAGAGGATGCATTTACATAAACTGCTTTGTCAAGTAAGCAGAGTTGCGTTTCCAAGACAGAGGCAACACCATGACAAAAAAATATGAGCAGCTTGGAGTAGCTTAAAGAGTATTTCCACTTTTGCAGCCAAATTGGGATAACACCTATTTATATTTGTTACATGTTCCCATTCTTGTTGCATAGATGAAAAACATTAAAAATTGCTTCTTATATTTTTAAGTAATTTTCTACTTGCTTATTAATCCTGCCCCCCCTCCCCCCTCCCATGTAATGTTAAGCAAGGGGCTGTGTGATGTTATGTTTACTTTAATTGAACCTGCCTGTACTGAGCTGGCAGATCATCAGTTGTAAACTAGATTTGAACGTCCTACCAAAGGGTTAAAGACTTATATACGCATTATAAGTTAATTAGAAGCAGCTCAGCCTGACCCTTAGTTTGTCCTTGACCCTGACTTTCACTTTCAAACCGCTCAGAGTAGCCTGGAATCTGCACAAAGGCCTTCACCAATGAAACATCTAAAAGATGAGAAATATACCTTTAAAAATGATTTTTAAATATGCTGTGTGAATGTGAACACATAACAAACATAGCGGAATTTTCTCAAATGTGACTGCAAAAGTGGAACTACACTTTAAGCAGCCTTGGAGAAGATACAGATAACAACTGACAGATGAAAAAGGGCCAAAAAAGTGAAGGGGTTTTACATTTGAAGTAAACTAGTTATTGGCCATGGAAGCACCAGGAGGCAACTGGTGCCTTACACTTGCCAAACCAATTCTACTGGCGCCCTGGGAGGCCACCAAACTCAGAGCCAGGAATATGTAACCTCTGGTTTTTAAAAAGGACAGTGCTGAGGAACAGCCCAATGACATTCCAAAATGTAATTCGGGGATCCATTAACAAGGTGCTAAACGTCACCTAGTAATTCCATTCAAAGGTTAGATTCGTAGGTCAAGGTTCATGACTGGAATGCTTTACTGGAGAAAAGGAGGCACCCACCCATTTTTATGTAGACAACCTACTAATATTCAAAAAACATTAAAAACAGTCTAAAACTGGCATTCCATATTGTTTTACATTTATTCATGCAATTCACTGAAAAGGTTTGCTCTGCTTTCAGGAGGATGTAATCCAGTTCTAGCCATAGATTTTTGTAAAGCATAATATCTCCAAACCATCCAACATGTTTATCTGAAATGCATTTCATTTTGACTAGATCCTCAAACTTTGGCATACATATTTGTAGTTGCTATCTTTTCATCTATTACTGTGTAGTATCTTTTTTCTAGCCCGTCATTATCAGAAAATTGTATAGTACCAGATTAGAAACATTTTGCTAACTTTCTGAAAGTAAATAGGAGAAACAAGATACCTCCCCTGAAAAGGCAATATACAGGTGAAACTCAAATAATTAGAATATCGTGCAAAGTTCATTTATTTCACTAATGCAACTTAAAAGGTGAAACTGATATATGAGATAGACTCATTACATGCAAAGCAAGATAGTTCAAGCCGTGATTTGCCATAATTGTGATGATTATGGCTTACAGCTCATGAAAACCCCAAGAACCCCAAATCCACAATCTCAGAAAATTAGAATATTACATGCAATCAATAAAACAAGGATTGTACATAGAACAATATCGGACCTCTGAAAAGTACAAGCATGCATATGTACTCAGTACTTGGTTTGGGCCCCTTTTGCAGCAATTACTGCCATTACTTTTGCACCAATTTTGCACTCCTAATTATTCGAGTTTCACCTGTATGTTAACTGGTTTTGCTAAAAGAGAAAGTTAGTATTGGGGACACAACTCCTCGATGCACCTAGTAAAAAAACTGGACTGGGCCACCATCCCACTTCCTTTCAGTGTGGATATAATCCTGTCAGGGCAGCAACACAAAAGATGAAAATGCCAATGGGTTACAGAGGCAACTTGTAATGAGCTACATAGTCAGGATAGATGAGGGTCTCCATTCCTGTGCCCCAGTCTAGATGGTTCAGACAGTAATAAGGGTTGTTAGTCGACATACCATGTGACTTGGTACATCACAGGTTTTTAAGAAAAACCAGTAGGTACAAAGCTAAAAGGAACAGAGGCTGGTAAATGGGAAGATATAGCAGACATTTGCCTTTGTAGAAAGCCTTTAGCAAGGAGACACAATGGCATGCACACAATCGGGGATCCCAATGTGTGCAGGGACTACTCTGTGTCTACCACTGCTTCCTTGTATGGCATAGTCTGTACTACTTTGTAATGCGATTTCATTTGAGTTAAAAATTACCTTTCACAAACCACAGGTCGAGAGTCATTTAGTACAGAGCCCAGTGATGAGCAAGGTTGCCTTGGAGGAGGTGCTATAGGAACATTAGGATCCACCAAATTAGTCTTGCGATTTTCCTGTGCCAGTGCATTGGCAGCTTCACAATCAACAGTTCCAGAAGCAGCTCGGATAGCGTTGGTTAGAATGTCAGGACCAACTGCTCCTTCCAAAGTGGGCTCTGGTGTAGTCTGTTCCAGTTCTAGAGTAGGAGAGTGAGGAGGAGATGCTCGAGGCTTTCTTTTTGTGGATGCGCCTGACAACAACTTGAGCAAACCTTTTTTCTCTTTCTGTAATAAATAAAATCATTATTTTAGATTATGAAGGATACATTCATATATACATACTGTACAAACAATAGCAATTTTCCCCTACGAGCATGCAATTATATGCCCCGGTTGAGCATAACACACTGACATGTTTCTGAATCCACTGTTGGATCCCCTGTTGCTAAACAAAGAGCTTCATTAACTTCCTACCCTCTCACACTTCTGATACCTCCTAACTCACTTGAACTACCCCAGACTCCTAATGGGGGTCACCATCCCATGTACTACCTTTCACCCAGTCATACAGCTCATGTAATGTCTATGTCTCTCACTATCTCCTTTCTTTCTCGCAATCCCTAAAGGCAACTGTGCTGTTGCCTTTAGGGATTGCAGAGACAAAGTTTGACCTGGGGAATACCAGTCTTTGTTTCATACTGCATCAGAAAAAAAATGAAAGTCCCTTAACAGCCATTTTGCCCAGGAAAACATGAAGGCCAACCTATCCTCGGTACAGCCCATAGATCCTATAACACAGGGCTTGACAAATTTGCTTTGATTTTAGGAGCCAGTTTTTTTTTTAAGCTAACAAAGCTTTATTTACAATGAGAGTTGTAATTTTCAGTTACAGTTTTAATTGGCTGATCCCCCCGTTGATTGACAGCACCAGTGGGCGGGTGCAATAGCCAGCCTGCTATTGGCTATTGCAATTTAAAATAGCTAATAGCAGGCTGGATATTGCTCCTGGCCGCTAGATAAGACACTTTCTAGCACCAGCAGTTGATCAGAAGAGGGGGCGGCAGGGGATCGGGGGTGGGCACATCGGTCTCTCCTCCCTGCTGGGCCCCCGGCTGCAGTGGTCTGTGTTCCCTCCGATCCCCGCTAACTGCTGATATAGATTGGTAGAGCAGCGGGGATCCAAGGGGATACAGACCGCAGCATGCAATGGGCTCCCAGCGGAGAGGAGACTGCGGGGGAGCAAAGCTAACGCGGCGCCAGAGGAGGCTGACAAAAGCCTAGGTGCCAGGACGCAATTTCTATTCGCCATGGTGACCTAGCCCCAGGATTTGTTGTCATTGCTATAACATTGTAATAAATATGGACCGAATCTCAGGTAAAATCACTTGCAATGTCAATGGCAAGAGCTGGTGAAAGTTGAATACTAGCATCGCTCTTTTTTGGCACTGGATGAAGTTTTTTTTTAAATAGTATAATTTAAAGCAGAACTATGGGGTTAAGGCTTTTCCCCATAGTTTTCCTTGGGGTAACGGGAGGACACAAACTAGCGTCCTCCCGTCACCCTAGGCTCAGTATACCATGAGCTGTAGCTCGCGGTATACTGAGACGCCGCAGTATACCGCGAGCTGCTGCTCGCGGTATACCATGACGCCGCAGCTGAAGCGGATCCCGACAATTATGTCTGGATATGCCCAACTGTGTGACTGACAGCTGGCTCTGCCTATCTAGAATTCTAGAATAGCAGAATTCTATCCCCCCTCTCCCGAAATCCTTTCCCCCCACCAGAGAAATACTTCTTTTGGCAGGCAAGACTGCTATGGAATCCAGTGGGGGCAATCTAGAGGTGTGAATCATCTATAATCAGAACAGAAGTGCCCCCGGGGAATGCATAATTAGGCCAAGCCAGGACAACCTGACGTGCAAATGTCAGACTGAGTAACAGGGAGTTCCAAAAGAACAGATTTGCAATAATAATAATTCTTCTTTGAAGAATGGAAGATCTGATGAACAGAATCAGTGCCAATGTGAAAATCTGAGGCACCATACAAACAGACCAAGTGGCCTGTGTCTCTTTGCTTCTATATGGCACAATTGTCATGCTTGGCTCGTATGAGCCCATTAACTACTTGTTATATGCAGGAAAACAGTAACATTATTTCTTGCTGACCTCTGAGTGTGAAATTTAAAAAATCAATGCCTTTCATCTCTCCCCAGAAAATACTTGTTATACTCATACATCCAGGAAAAACCAGCTGTGTACTGTACAAGCCATTAAGTACTTTTGGCTGCAATTCATTTTTATCCACAAACGCACTGCCCAATAAAGTATAAACAGACAGCTTCTATGTCTTGTTCAGCATAATTGCTATGTTTGAACATAAACATTAGTTTGGAGAATTGCTTGTTCATGCAAGTCAGTGTTTGTGCTAAAGAGAAAGATGAATTTCTGACAAAAAGAAAAGAAAGAGGAAAACACGTCTTTAGGGGGAATACTTTACAGAATTGAATATTGATTTCTGTACTCTACTATTGTATAGAACCTTTTATTTTTTTTAATTGGCAAATATGAAATGTATTATATGAATATTTCATGCGCACCATTAGGGGAAACTGTGTGATAGGCAGTGTAACAGACTGGAGCACCCTACATAACAGTCTACTGCATATTAGAGTATTGGCCCTCATTCACACCAAAAAAAACGCACCCAAAAAATCCCATTTATTTCTTCGGCCATGTTCACATCTGAGCATTTTGTCGCTAGTAGCAAAACGCCAGTCACTTGAAGTACATAAGCTTCTTTTTGGAAAATTCTGCGCTTCTTGGTCCCATAGACGTCAATGGAAATGCTAAAAAATGCATTATTGCTGCGTTTCTGCGCGTCTGTTCATTCACATCAATGTGTCACAACCTGCTCGTAAAATGTGCGACTTTATATATGTGCATTTTACGCGCATAAAAACGTGCAAGAACGTGCTACACAAAACGCGTCGAAGACGCTGTAGCTTAGGTGTGAATGCAGGCTCATAGGAAATACAGAACCTGCCTCTGTTACAGGCTTCCACCAAACAAACTACAACAATGCAAACATCCTGAGTGCTACTTTGGTTTGGTCAAATGAACTACCAAACCTCCCCATACAAAAATCTAAATGTCATTTGCTTTAGATTATGCACATAGGTTCACACTACCCAGTCATATCCTGTCTATCACTCTTACACTCCAAAGGGTTTTTAAAAACTTCCACAGCAAAATACACGGAGACCCCCCACATAGACTGATCCAGTTTTGTCTGGACCTTTACCACGTGAATACATAAGGATGATAGGTGTCAGAAATGTCCTGAGAAAGGGTTACTCTAAAGATGTGGTTATATTAAAAATAAGAGAACCAGGACATTGATGTGGGGGTTTGTGTGTTCTAAGTCCAGGTCGAAATGGGGGGGCTGGATTATGTGGCAGATGAACACTCTGTCACTGTAGAGATGCATATAGTGACATGGATAGAGCATAGTTCAGCAGGCAACGGGGTGTGAGACTAATTGTCAGGTGGGTATAGCCCCACAAAAAGGAATCCGGCTAGTCAGCCAGGGCTTCCAGGAGACAGATTTGCTGCAGGAGCAGAGTATGCGATAGCTAGAGGATCCCTGGTATGAACCCCTGGGTTGACTAACTGGAGAGCAGTATAAGCACACACCAAGCTCCCATAAAAAAGGGCAAACCTCTCACCTACCAAAGTGATGGTCCAGAAGATGCCCTGTGGCCCTAACAAGCTGGAGAGTGCCAGGCAGGATACAGGGGAATATGTCTGCTTCAAACAGCGTTCGCCCTCTTGGGGGACATACTCCCTAAAGAGTTTTTAGGGACATGGTTCAACCAGATGGGTGCACTGCAGCTCTGGAACTGTAAGGCACTCTGTGACCAACTCACACATTACATACAAGCGTCTGGGGGAGCACCTCAGCAGAACCCTATGCCTGCAAGATACATTACAAACTAACGACACTTCTTCCTCATAGTGGGGTCTGGGTTTAGCCTTTGTGGCTATTCCTAAGATCAGTCATGGTACACACAATTGTCTTGGAGAGCAGTTCAGAAGAGCCCAGTGCCTGCAGTACACATTACAGACTGGCCCTACTTCCTCTTACAGCTTTGTCCACCAGTGTTCAATTTCCTGCAGGGTGCAGCATAACCCAGTGTCTCAAAATTACTTCTCCTGTGTCCCCTAATGAACAATTTAGAAAACGACTTTATTTAAAACCAGATCCTTTTATTTAGTAACAAGAATGTAATTGAAGTTTAAATTCTAATTTAGGGCTTTCCAACTGATATAAAAAAACTGCAACAAAGAAAAGTGGGCTGTCCCTAACTGCATCATGATTGCATATTTTCCTTACACAATGAAAGTTAAAACTTAACTGGTTGCCGCAGTGTGGATTAAAAGTATCTATAGAGATCCTCTTGAGATTGAATTAATTAACTAGACACAGGGCAGCCGGACTTGCAGACACATGTTGGTTACTATTCATACAAAACTGAGAAAGTTAGTGTGCTCTCTCCAATTCTCTCACATACTTGTCAACTTCTTGAACCAGCAGCACAACCCAATGCAGTCTTTATCCACCAACATGCCTGTTTAGATGTGCCACAAGTTTATTACCTGTTACTTTAAAAAAAAGTAGTTTATCCTTTGCATGCCATACATCAATACGCATGTAAACAGCATAGTATGTCTGGGGTGCTATCATCCCAAACACAAGTACAGCAATATATATATATTAAGTCAGCACACCCAAAGTGTGGTATTGTTATGCTACTTTAAAATTTGCTGCCTCATGCTGAATGTTTTATTTTTTTTTGCAAACTTTGTAATTCAGTTATGTTTCGTCACAATTTTAAAATGATTTATCTTGGAAAGTATAAAGAAAATGGGCCATTTATATTTAAGTAAAATTGATTTTTGGCTAGGTTACACAGGCAACTGCTATTAACATTTTACAAATTGGGAAATTAAAATATTCAGTGATTAATTTCACTGTTGCTTCACATCAATTACGATATAATGGAGCACACAGGAAATATTTTATTCTGCGGCCCAGTCACTGAGCTCTTACAGTGGAACCGTGCTACAATATAATTGTGCAGCACAAACATGATAAATATCCTTCATAAACACAGTTCCTGCTGTCATTGTGTAGATTACGGCACTTTTCTCCTTTTGCCCATAAGAAAAATACTCCTTTTTTTTATGAACTGCAGATAAGTTTTTTTATTCATTATTTCTCTCCGATTTAAAAACCAATAAATCATACTTCCCAAGATTTTCTCTTACTTTCTGTTCCAGTGAAAGAATTGTGAGGGGAAATCTCTACAAGCGGCACAAAATGGCAATAACACTTATTAGCATCGTGGGGAAAGGCTAGAGCTATCAAAAGCGTTTTAAAGCGGTCTGTGTTCCTCTCATTTTCTGCCCCAGTACAACGTTGTCACCAGAACAGGAAGTATAAACATAAATCTACCAAAAAGGGCTCAAAAAGTAAAAAAGGAGAATCCTAACCATTCCCTACACTACGATTTTTTTAAAGTTCCAGCTTGAGATAGACATTAAATGTCACTGAGCAATTGCAGACAATTGCTAAAGCAAAGTATTATGGGACTAAACGGCCTACTCTAGTCAAAACGTTTTGTTTAGTTTAAGTGCAGATGGATGGATAGATAGATAGATAGATAGATAGATAGATAGATAGATAGATAGATAGATAGATAGATAGATAGATGGATGGATAAAGTAGAGAAGGTTAGAACCACGGTTAGCTTTTTATTGTTGTTTTTGTCCCCGCTGTCTGAATAGAACATATGCATAATTTTTAGTCTCAGGAGCAATCTGTCACACCCTGACACACATAGTGGCAAAGGCATCAAACACTTATTCAAAACACATGCATCTGGAAGATTCACCTACAGTGGTTTGGTGAATGTCAGATTCACTCTTTTATAAATATGTTCTTCATGTCACTGGGAACAAGAAATACATGGAAATCTAGCAATATAAACCCTCACAGAGGTTGCAATCCATCGGTATTCTGTCCAAAGCTACACAAAGTGGCTAGAGTTGAGATCAAACAAGAACTAGGCCAGGGTGAGGAAATATTGGCAGTATGGTCTCTGAAAACCTACTGATCTTATTAAACAACATGATGAGCAATGTGCATAGAAAGGATACCCTCAGCAACCAATCAGAATTCAGTCAGGCAAGTATGAATTTTAATTGCTATGGGTAGTCTACATTTTGCCTTTTTTTTTACTGCTTAATAAACAAGACTTAATGTGGGAAAACAAGAGAATGTGCAAATGACCAAAATCCTACACTAAGGTTACTTTTGAAAATGTAGTAGGAAGATTACAACTCTCTCAACAATTCCCCATTTTGTTATTCTCTAGGTAACTCATTTTTTTAGACATTCAAGCCTCTAAAGCTAGACAGACACGATACATTTTCTCTTGTTAAGTCCGCAGTCTGAATAAGAACAAATCGATTGGTTCCCCAATCCATTATAAACAGTAAAGATGGAGGGATCTCCAATGCCATCTATTGTATTAATCAGCATGGCACCTACAGCTGCCTGAATGCCCAGACAGTGACATCATCTGATAGACGATCATTTTCCACCCGGCTCAGTCAATTTTTAAATGGACTTTTGTCTACCTAGATGGTGCTGGCAGACCACCCACAGCTTACATTTTGGTAGATTTATCAATCAAAATGTTGGGCAGCCTATGATCAGCATAAGTGTCACATCAGGACTAATATGAAGGGCTGCTATCAGTTTCTTTAAATTACCTTGCTGTCCTTGTCTTGCTTATTAGCAGCAGAAAAACTTGAAGGTGCTGAAACACTATCAGGAGATGAAGAGCTTCCAGTGGCTGCAGAGCCAGACTTCCAACTACCATCTGCCTCCACAGAGGTCCCGCTGCCGCCGCTAGAGTTGGCGCCCGTTGGCACATTTGATCTGTTGAGATTCATGGCAGCATTGATGTATGCAGCTGAACTTGAAAGCTGTGGCTGCATTTGTTGGGCAGGAGAGCCTTGGTGGGCATTGCCAGATGGTCCCTGGATAAGGGAAGAAGCATTTTGAGCCTGGATGGGAGTAACTGCAGCTGTTGGTCGCTCCTGATTATGGGCAGCGGCTGTGAAAACAGAGAAATAAGTTGATGAGCACCATTCAGACAATACGAATTCATGCTAGTATTATTGTTACTAATTGATTCTCTTTTCAAATAATATTTGTTTTATTATTTAAAGGACCCCAACTTTGTAAACCCTCATTATTTATTATATATGTTGTAAATATCGAACCAAAATCTTCACATTTTGAAAACATTTTTTTTGTTTTTTATTGGTTAGAGCCATATTATTCTCCTTCATAGACTTACAATAAACTGTGATATCATCTCACTCTCTGGTAGGAAACCACTCACTGGTAGGCTACTTCAGCTTTATGTAAAAGGAGATAAATAAATGAACAGTATATAAACTCCAAAGGACAGTCCAATTCTTAAAACAGCCCTTTACCCTTATTTCCATCATTAAACTCCTTCCTACCTCCATTCTTACAATCAAACACCTTTTTATTTTGTTAATACCTTTTTGTGCAGCTCAGTGCACAGGTTCAGCGCAGTCCTGTGCCAAAGTGAAATGACTCCTGTGCACATGCACAAGAGTTACTTCATCGTAATATATGGCCAATCAAGAGGCTGAAGACGCTGAACCTGGAAGAAGACTGGGTGAAGATGGAAGCACCAGCAACGGAACTGCTGGGTGGGATTGCTGACAAGGTAAGTCAGCCATAACCTAGGTTTGAACGGAGTCTACAACTGGGTTTACACACTTTAAAATTCGTTGCATGGGTGGTGCCGTCTGCACCCTTTCGCCCACTCAATCAGCTAATCGAAGGAGCAAGTTGGAAAATTCTTGGCCAAATAGAGCTAGCAGCCAATTAGCTGCTAGCTGGTTTTGAGTATTCTGACAGTGGCCAGCAAGTGCTGTGAGAATGCAAAGGAAACAGCAGGGGATTCCTCAATCAAAGCACGTAAGCGTTGATAGAGGAATCCGTTCTTACATTTTCGTTCAGCCTGCGCGTTGAACGAAAAAAATAGAACTGTGTATACCCGGCTTTAAGCTTTAAAGATATCTCAGCTTCGAGATCTATGTAATCCAAGAATAACATGCAGAAAGGGTCTGCATACCTCACCACAGGGGGCACAGATAGGCTGTAGCATGCATGTTTGTAGTTTCTTCATGTGAAGATCGTTTGTAAACACATGATTACATAAATTCACCTGAAAACACAAGTAATCAAACCCACAGCCCAGCAAGGTACTCCACTATGAATTTCAAGATGTATTCAAGAAAGTAAGGCCCCTTTCACACGAGCTGTACACACATCCTTTCCTGATCACAGCACTACGGAGCGGATTACAACTGCCACCAGTTTTAAAGAAGCCATCTTCATCTTAAACTCACAATAATCTCATAATATTATCTACTGCAAATGGGCAAAGATTGTCCAAAGAAATGCACCTCTGAAGGGTGTGTCAACTGAAGTCAGATGCACTGTATATGCCGATCCCCACAAGAATAGCAAGGGGAGCATTTGTGCAGCAGATATGCATCAGAGCAGGATAGCATTTAAGATGCATCTCTTAAGACTAGGGATGCACAGATATCAGTTCAGATACCAGTGCCAATACTTAGCATTTTCTAGAAGAACTACCAGGGTTGCAGCTTGGACCTAGCTTTGGCGCTCCACCACTGTCCTGAAATCATTAGTCTGTATTTTTTTAGAAAAAATTTCAATGTCTTCTTTAATAAAAAGTATCAGTAATTGGTATCGGCAAGTACCTGAGGGAAAGTACTTGTACTTGGTCTTGAAAAAGTGGTATCGGAACATCCCTATATAAAACAAATCATACATTAAAACAGGGATGCACAAATACCAGGAGCCCTGTAGCCAATGCTCCTTAAAAATGACAGCTGCCTCCCAACATTTGAGTTTTTATCTAGTCTAGTAGCTGGAAAAGTATCTGTACTTGTGTCAAGTACAGTACTTGGTATCTGTGCATCCCGACTAAAGACAGATTTACCTAATGAAAGGCCTTTACTTCCTGGTACTTTCCACCCCTCTAATTCTCCTCCTTTATGAACAAAAAGAAAGTCACTAAATGCACAAGCCTCTCTTGCGCTATTCACTTTCACAATGTCACTGCAGGAGACGCATGGTAGATGTGATTAGACAGAGGACCAAACAGTTTGGGGCTTCAAACTAAGTACGTTTAGGTGGACTTGGGCAGTACCAACATCATTGTACTTCCCAAAAGCCATCAGCCTTAAACAATGCAGAGAGTACAGTAAACTACACAGGCAATCCATAAAAAAAATTATTCTAATTGGCTCTTTCAGGTTACTTAATTTTTCACATTGCCTTTGCATGGAGCGAAGACAACACTGCAGAGAATAATGCAAGTCTGCATGAACCGTCCTTCAGGGTTACATGAGTATGTACGTTCTATATTCTGATATCATGTATAATATGAATCCAATGTAAACTGAATAAGGTAATGCTAGCTTTGGAGCTTTAAAAGTCCCCACTCAGCTTATACTGAACGATCCCAACAACAGCTGCTTAATCTAATTACATTTATTTTTACAGGCCTGCACCAGAAATGACTGTGTTTGTTTTCCCTTTTATTATTACGGCCCACATTTCAGGCTGATATGGGTACAGCAAGTGAGCCCTATAAATTTAAATGACCATATGAGAAAATAACAATGTTTTCGTAGCTTTGTTTTATTGCTCCTCTTTGCTGGCTTTATTCTCGCCTTTGGTTGAATAACTATTCAAGTATTCAAACATTCAGCGGAAAAGTAAAACCTGATATTGAGAACACCCTTTGACTGAACTCAAAAAGAATTCCAAAAACTAAAAATATATATTTTTACCATTTCATCAATTTGTACTATGAGGTTTAATAAAGAGTTCTGTGAAATAAATGCACAGGAACAGATGTATAGTATCTGGCTTTAAATGAAATTCTTTGAGTCCTCTAAAGCTCCCTTTTGAGCAGTAAAATAGATTTGACAATTTCACTTTGAGTAATGCATTTCTCTAAACTGCTTTGAAGTTTCTACCAATGGCCATAAAGAGACGTCTCAATTTCCACACAAAAAGGAAAACTAGCCAGCGAATGACGAAATGATTATGTCATTTCACCATTCATTTTCTAGTGTTTACATCACAACTCAACAGCCACGTACTGGCACAGGCTACCTTGGACAAAGTTATGGATAGAATATCATAAATATAAACCAACTGGGAAATTAAAATTATAAACACAACCATAAAAGGCCCACCCATATGTGTACATGTACAGTATTACCTTATCTTATAAGTATATAAAGCCCATTAGCAATAGCTAAGCTACATATTAAAGAGTGTGAAATATTTTTTCCAGCTGTAAATTTTGGCTTAAAGACAGCTCATATAAGTGTATTAAAAATGAACCGGTCAAGATACAAATATGGGACTCACCACTTCTGAGTTGCATGTGAATGTGCATGTTCCTGGGATGTCATCTTTACCTTAATGACTACTTAGTGAATTACTGATCTGGAACCCTAAGGAAACCAGAACTGAGAAAATGTGGAAATAATGTGGTGTTTGTCTTTCCTGCACTCTTTTTGAAAATTCTAGTTGTTTGGTTGTCTTTGGTTGTCTTTGGCTGCAATGCTTTCTAAGCTACTGACCAATAAGTATGCAGATCATGAAAGCCAGAATTCCTGACCTGATGACAATGAGTACTTCTACATGCAGCAAATCTAACATAAAGTGCCTACCCATTATAAGTGCTACCAGATCTACCTGTTATGGGATTCATCTGATAACATACTCATGTCTGTGGAAATTAGGAAGCAGAACTATTAAAACAACAGAAAGGAAATAGCGTCATACACAGGTCAGGAATCCTTGTCCAATGGTCAGTGTCCCAGCAGTGCCTTCTCTGCACTTCTGCTACCTTCTAAAAGCACATATGTGAATGCTGGGGTGACCAAGAAGGATGCACCCACAGAGATTAAGAGAAATTCATAATGAGCCTTCATGTCTGAATGTTGTTTAAAGTCTATGCACAACAAAATATTTTATACTTGGACCCCTTTTACAGTCCTTAGTCAGTTTTTCTGGTGGGCCCGATCGGATGCCCAATGCTAGTCTATGGGCAGCCGGGTGTAAACGGACAGGCGTCTGTTTACCCCAGTTACCCGAACTCTGGCCAGGTCCAGAAAAACAAACTGACCCAGGAGTTCCATTTTGCCAAACTGATTGTGACACAGATCGAGGGCAATCTGATGTTAATGGACACGTCTGTTTGCATCCGACTCCCAATAGACATCAGGTCTGGCAGTTTTACTTTCCGCGATGGAGAAAAAAAAACTGGATGGACACATGTGTCTCGGATCAGGAGACCTTGTACCTGCTGGCTTGAAATAGTAGAAGAGCAATATGTCTGGTAAGATTTTACAAAACAAATAAAGAGTTTACATTAAGCTTCAAGACACTTTCTTGAAGCCTTAAAACTCCCTTCAGCTTCAGTGTGGAGTTGTTAAACACAGATTGTAATAGGAGTGCTGGTCGTCACTTTAAAAAAAGCTGCTGGCAGCTTCAGCAAGCTTATAACAAGATAGGAAGCGCTACAGCTTGCTGAAAACCTGCTAGCAGCTTGTTAAACTGACAGGCCTTAAAGTGTATTTCCACTTTGGCAGCCAAATTGGGATATAAAGGGATTGTATATTTGTTGTATGTGCTAAGTCATATTGGATAAGCTAAAAAATGTTTGTTTCAAAAATGCTTCTTGCAGTCTTGTTTTTTCTTGGGTTAGGGTTTCTTGACTTCTTAAGGGGTTACAATCTCTTCTTGCAGCTCCTTCTTTGTAATAGGAAGGTTGTGAGGGGTTAAAGGATTACAACCCTGGCTTCTCCAATGTATGTTAATGAAGTTAAGGAGAGAAACACAAACCCTCAAATGCCAGTCCTAAGTCTTTCTATAAAGTACAGATGATTGTGAAGGTGCTCAGAAAAACCTGGAATCAGACATATTGCCTGCTGCAACAAAATATCTAAAAGTTAATATATTTTGTAAAAATATTTTTTTGTTATGCTGTGTGAATAGGATTACCTAACACGTATACAGAGGGGTTTTCTCAAATTTGACAGCAAAAGTGGAAATACACTTTAAGAAAATTTATAATTATCAAGTACTAAGACATTATTGGCTTTTCCAATAACGTGAAAAAATGTTTGGAGTTTTTTTTTTTACCTGTCCGCACAGCATTCCGAGCTTGGTTCACGGTCATTTGGCCGCTCATATGCATCAGAACCTTAGCTTGAGGGCTGGTCTGGATATGAGTACCTGGAATGACTGTTGTAGATACGCCATTTATATTAACAGTTTTGCTAAATTCAGGTCCATTTCCTTGTATTTTCTGGCAAGGTACTGCGCTAGAACATGGAGCCACCATGTTCACCATCTGTGTAGCTCCACCTGCTGTTGCCATGACAACCTTGGACTGTGTTCCAGTTGTTAATGCCCTGTAAAAAAAAAAAACAGTTGGTTTGTAAACAGCAGCGACCAAATTAACAATTTGCTTCACAAAGAAGCTACCTGAACTGCCTCATAACAACTAACAGGACTCAAACTTACATTCACAAATACTAGGGATGCACCGGTACTAGCATTGGTGCTCATACCGAGTATTTGGGCGAGTACTCACCCAAGCGCTCCCAATATTTATCCCGATACCAGAACTTCTGGTATCAGGAAGCCGGCTCCCTGCTACCTCGTCATCAAGTGGCTCAACACCTGGTGACGAGGGAGCAAAGAGACGGCTTCTCAGCTAATCGGGAAGCTGGGCGGCGAGTCATTACAAGCCGTCCGACTTCCTTAATGGGACTTCCGGTATTGGTATTCGGTATCGGCGAGTACCGGGAAAAAACTATAGCGGTAGACCTATAGAGGTGTCATTTTGTTTTCTTTAACGCAAACCTTAAAGTGTATGTACAGCCAAAATTATCTGTTTTTAAATTGTCAGTATAGTAGGGAAAGGTAAAAAAAAGTTTAATTTTTTTCCGGTTTCTCTCCCATTGGGGAGATTGCTCTTTATTTCCCATCCCGGGAAGTAAGAAAGAGGAAATCTTTCATAAGAGATTTTCCTCTTAGAGAGTTGTCACTAGAACAGTTATCTTGGTTGGAAGATTTACCCTCATCTCTTGTTCTGGTAACAAACTGCACTTTGTGGAGCTTTCCTCTCCCTTCCTGTTGTGTCTCCAAAATTTGTGTTTGTTGGGTGTTAGAGCTGACACTTAAGGAGAAATAGAGTGTGACTTTAAAGTAAAAGGCAGCTCCTTATCACCTATGGAGTCCTCAGTGATCCTCAAGAGTAGTGGTATGAATGTAGGACAAAGAGGGGAGTGCCAAAGCATTAGTATGAGTCCAGTAAGCTTATATTGACATGGGGGGCATGAACAAGCACTGGGCGAGCCCCCCTCATGGAACTACAGCAACTAAGGAAAAAGTTCCCTTCCCCCTCTTTTCTGTTCTATTTTTGACAGGTCATTGGCTGAATGCTGTATCTAGGCAGACTCACCATTTTCGGCAGGAACAACACAGCTCTTCAGTGGCCTTTGATTGGCTGAAGTCTCTGTTGTGACCTCCTCACCTTTGCCAGCTGTCACCCAGATGAGCTTCCCAACCCCCTTTATTTGTCGCAGCATTTATTTATGCGTTTTGTCACCTCTTCGGAGGGGGACATTTTTAAATGAAATTCAGCTTTATTCATATTGGTGCGCTTGGGGTTTTCTAGCCAAGCACTAGTTATTTATTATGGTGAAGGCTATGTTTAATAAAGTTATGCTATATTTATTTAATGTATCCGAGTTCACCAATAAAAAAATTCCCAGAGCAATTTATTTGCCAAATGATAGTGTTGCTGTTTTATTTACTATTTTAAAAGGTTTGGTTATGTTTATTTGTTTATTGGGAATGTTGCTTGTAATTCCATGCACATGAGGGGAAGCCAGTGCATTTTGTGAGCTCAATACTCCCCCCTTCATCGGGACTTAAAATGCAGAAACATAAAATAGGATAAATCTGTACAAGAGTTATTGCTAAAACATGCATAGGTTATGCTGCTGTAATAGATCGCCTGTCAATTAGGCAGCACGAAGCAAAAGAGTATTGGGAAATTTCGCAAACGGGACACAGACACCAAAAAAAACGTTGACAGGGGTTTTGTTCCTTCCCTAGCACATCCAAAACAAAATACAGAAAAAGTTTTCGCTATACATACACTTTAAATATGTAAGATATGTTATCTGATATCTACACAGTTAGATGCAGCCAAAAAAAAAATACCTGACTTCAAAAGTTTTTTTCTATATGGAAAAATCTGTTCTATATCAAATCCACCAGCATAGTTTCTGTAAATAGCTTTGCTCCACACATACCCTTGTCAGTGGGAAGAAAGATGATAAATTGCAATTTCCCCTTTACTTTAACTCAAAAAATGCAGTGGAGGAAATGTCTGAGCATTATATAAAAAAAACTGTACACTCCGCCAAGACATTAGGATGTTGTAGAATTTCCCACTAGGTTCATTCTGTAAAGGAACAAAGCCCATAAGCCCTGTTTAGAGTTACAGATTTTTTTGTTTTGTTTACTCACCTGGTGACTGGTGCAACATAGTTCCCTGGAAACACACCAATCTTACTGGTGTGCATGGAAGTTCCTTTAAACCAGCCATCCTGACAGCGTTCAAATACCAAAAACATTTCACCTTTCCTAAGCTCCAGTTCATCCTCTTTACGTGGGAAATAAGGATATATGGCAACATACCTGAGAAGAAACAAAGATACTTTATTGAGTGTGCCACTTTCACCAGGCTGTGGTCTTGGTATGTCATCTAATAGTACAAGCACTGCACACAAGCTCAAACAATACTTCCTGGTGGCATTTAGATATGATCGGTCTACCACAACTATTATTTCATACATCTATGCACACTCTGCATCCCAATAATTGCCCTCTATTTCCTATAGATTGACTGTGTAAATCTAAAGCTTGCCTGACTGGATATAAATTGTTTAGATCAGGGGTCAAAATTTCAAGTCCTGAGCTACTAGCCCTGCTTTAAGAGTTACTCGCCACCAGTTGCCCACCTAACCCCTACCCTTAACTCCGCCCCCTAAACACACCCTCTTAAATAATCTTATAAATCACACTGTTAGATGTTTTATGCAAAATAAAGTTACAAAAATAAATATTAACAACTTTAACAATATTACCATAAAAGTCCCTAGTGAAAAGCTCCGGCCGAAAAAGAAGGGAGACAGACCAGCAGGAGCAGCTGCTCCCACGAGTCAGGTACTGACTCAAGCCTGACTGAATTTCCACTCGCCTGCACTGCATTTCCACTTGCCAAATGCAAGCAGGCGAGTGGAAATTTTGAGCCCTGGTTTAGATCATTTTGAATACTTTTGCTTGATTTGTTCATTGCAAGCAGCAGAAGTCTGTACATTTTGTCAATAAACCTGATTTGTAATGGGGGTTGAATAATTTTGATTACAAGTGTATGCTTAGATGAAGCTTTTTTTGTGTGTGCTAGAATTGTGTTTACACGTATGACATTTTTGTAGGTGGATTTAAATTAATTTGCATTTTAGGATGGCTAGTTATAATGGAGCCATTTCTGATCACCTGGCTGCTGAAAACACGTGCCCTCAGTGGTCAATGGCACTTATCATACAGGATTGATTGAGTCAAATCAATCACTCTTCTTTGTAGGACATTTTTTTAAAAACTAAGTACTATGTGAGAGCCACTGTCACCTTCAGGCAGGAATGGCAGCTATAACAATATGCTCAAGGACAGGCAGGCCTGATTGCTGTTTTTTGCCTGTCTACAGGCACCCTTAGGTTTAGCTCCCATTTAAATTCTTCATTTATGTAAAAAGGATTCACACCACCTCGTTACATGTGTTTATCTTATTTCCGTGTACACTATAATATATATGTTGATAGCTGAAGCACTTAGATAACTAAATAATGCTTTAAATCAAAACATAAGGCATTTCAAGTTTCTTGGCTCGTTAATGAACTATAATTGGGGCTCCAGGGAAATCTGTGTCTCCTGATTCCTGGAAATGATGATCTGTTTGTGCTGAAAAAGTAAAACTGACGTGGCTGTTGATTGTTACAAATACAAGTTAAGAGAATTTTAATATGTTAAGCCTTTTGGGAGCATAAGTGAACTTTCCATAGACAAGGAGTTATATAATGATGGCTATTAGCATGTGGTTTACAGTGTATTTCATTTAATGAAAACTTGAGCTACAGCCACATGGTAATTATCAGCTGAATCATGCACAAGTCAAACAATTTGTACACCAATGAATTCTCTGTTAATTACATATCTCCAGGTATGGGTCACTGGTTTGCCTCTGATCATAGTGCAGGACATATGGACTCAATGCCAAACACCTGGAATTATTAGCTATGAATATTACTGTGTAGATACCAGAGTGCACCTTTCATCACCAAAGTCCAGCGTTAAAATTTCCAGACACAATAAGTCTCACTTTTCTTACTCAGAACATTTTCATTTGCAATCGTTTGCACTGTAAGTCCAAATGTTTCTGTTCAAGTGTAAACTTTGATGTCTGCATGCAGTAAGTAATGCTTAACACATGGAGCAGGGAGGCTTTCGCCCAATCAGGGTATTCCACTTTGCTAACACAACTTATGAAATCTGGGCAATGGAGCATGTTTCACAGTGATGTTTACTTGGCCGATCAATCAAGAACACTGCATGTAATTGGGAAATCTTTAGTCCCTGTCGTATATATGGACAGAGGAATCATCACTAAAACAGCGAGAAATCAGAGGAAGAGCAATAATTGATCTGAATGAAGCTGGTATAGCTGTTTAACAGGTCTTCTCTGTGCTCTGCAAAAAAAACAAGAACTGCAGCCTTACATGAAAATAGCAATTGGAAAAACATGTACCTGTAAGTATTAATTTAGACTGGTGAGATTTCAAGCATGCAAGTGCTACTGTTTTTCAACATGCTAAAGTGTGCCATATAAAAATATAGCCCCGTTCTAATTTTACTGTAATAGCTGGGTATTTGGAGTGCCGAAATACATTTTCCTGCTCACAAGATATATGCTGCAATCACTTGTGCTAATAGGTCAAATTAGCTTCTGGTTCATTTACAGATGTTGGGTACACAAAGTTTATGCCCCTCCCTGTTATAGTCACATGTCCCTATTTCATATAGCAATGAGCCTTGGTGCCACCACTAGGCTGGCAATCTGTAAATACACAGCGCTAATCACAGTCAGAAATTCAGCTTGCATGAAGGGCCACTAAACATATTAAAACTTGAGGAATATCTGTATGTATGCGATATGAATCAATACAACAGCTAACATTGTCACTACAAAGTCACAGAGGAGTCAGGCGGGGCTGGGCTTTGAGTACATTGCATTCACAGCCTGATCATAGATAATACATCTGTGCTGAACAGCCTGTGTGTGTTTCAAGCAGACAAATGATCTTTTCAATGATCATCTCATATCTGTAGATATCTGAAAAAGGTGCCTGACAGTTTTGCTTGTGCTTTATCAGATCAGAACTGCAAGTCCGGGGCCCTTTAGGGTTTTCATATAACCCATTAAACATTTGCCAGAAACAGAGTCTACTGTATTCAATTTTAAAAAGCTTGATTTCTGTGCAGTTTCTTATGCTCACAGGTCCCATTACATGCAATGAAAACACACAAAACAGCATTAGACAATCGTCATTTCATCTTGCCCAATGTAAAACAGGTATGTTTCTGCTCAAAAGTCACATCCAGGTTTTCTGTGGATCACTTAGCACACTGTGTTCAATGAATTCCATTTGTCAGCCTTTCTGTATGATCTATCCAGTGAAAGCCCCCTTTTCTTTTTTTAACATATCACAGCAAATGCCTAAATGTCATGTTAGGCATGTAAAGCTTTATGTGGAAACCACTGGTCTTCTTAAATGTAGACGCATGAACAGGTAATAGTATGCATGTGGATAACTTACTGCTTTTCAAACAAAAAGAACCGTATTTGGTAGCATTTTGGAAAAAAAACATTTACACTGGAGCTGACGTACTGCTATTGTTCGACTGAGCAAACAACTGTACTGCCCAAAGTCGCAGAAATAACGATTCTTAAAGAATAACTTCCATCAAACCTGAATTGAAGATAACGTAAACCTCAAGGCACATGCATATCAGGTCCGTTTTCTTCATTAGAGCCTGGTTGCCCTTAATCGCAGGCTTTTCTGATAAAAAAAAATCATCAACCCCAGCTTGCTAGGTCGAGAGCCTGACCTGCACTCTTCCTACCTCCGAGGCCTTAGTCTTTGCCAATGAGTCTGCCCATCACAATGGGGGATAAATAGAAACATTCGTTTAGGTATTTTCATTAGCTTCTTACAAATAAATAATTGGATAAAAAGCTACAGATAGCACTCTTTAGATATGATCAACTTGTCAAATAATAATAACCAAGAGGCAGGACAAAAAACAGCGGTCAATGGCAAGGAAAATATCAAAAACACCATGCCACAGTATGTGGTGCAGAAAAATGTATTGTAAGCAATGAGTTTAATTAAAGGGAAACACAACCAGTTTAAGGTAGTTGTCAATGATTATTGTCAAATTGTAGCTCAAATGCTGTTGAGGGAATTCTATGTGGTAGTAACTCACTTAAATATATATGATATTCTTTGTAATTAGTCAAGCTTATTTTTAATGTTTAGTGGATATTTTATATAATCATTTGCAATAAAGAAGTCATTTTACTAATATGTGTTGTGAAAAAGTTGCCATTCATAGTTGCCATATACAGTTTTGTCTATCATAAAAACTTACACGCTTGGTCGGGTGGACGGCCTAAGGTGTGCAACTTGTTCAGCAGGACCACTTGTCAGTCTCTGTCCAGCAGTAGAAGATGTTGCCCCAGAGGTCGTAGAGACAATAACAGCAGCAGTCAGTGGTGGAGGAGGAAGAATAGGTGGATTCAAATCCTATAAGGCAATGAAAGAATCACTTTAGAAGTTTGAATCGAATCAGTCCTGACACATTTAATATTGCAGCGGTCACAGTAATCTAGTAATCTTTGAAAACATAAAATAATTGTGTTACATTTACTTGCATGCTCCACGGTCATCATCTTGACTTTGCAAAATTGATTTGTCCCTAGTTCCTATAACTGAGAAATTATATATATATTATTGAAAAAGTTGTCAACTTTTTCAATCATCGATTAATCGGCTTCCGATTGGTTGGCCCTGTTCACGGCTCCACACGCTGCGCGCCACACTTCCTCACCACCTTACGCTCGCCGCTGCCAGACACGCCCGCCCGCATATACATGCCACACCTCCTCACGCTCACTGCCCGCCCAGATCCACGATCGGCACAGGGAGGTGGGGAGAAGAAGTAAGGAGGAGAAGGTGTGGGGGGATGACAGCTGCCGATAGACAGGCCCAATCTCATAAACAAGTTGCTGGAAGACTGCTCAGGTAAGAGATTCATTGCTGTATAATTTGTCACTTTCCATTTCACTATATTGCACACACTTTTTCTTCTTTTTTACTTCCACCGCTCCAAGCTTGCTCCTGTGATGGACTACAATCTCAATACAAACTAGTAGTCCCATCACTGGAGCAATTTTTTAACATTTATTTTTTATCGGATTAACCGATTAATCGAATTTAATAATCGGCTAACTAATCGATTTTTAAAATAATCGTTAGCTGCAGCTCTAAAATATATA